CCCCTTTTTTTTTTTTTTGGAAACTCTGACGTGGAAATGAATCCCTTAACCACAAACTCTCTGCCTTCAATGTCAGACCTCGAGCACCTCGCTTACGAAACCCTGCGCGCACTGCCAAATGGCTACCCTGGACCGGGAGGCGCGGCAGCTGTACTCAAGGATGGAAAAGTGATTGGACAGCATGTCTGGGGTTTCGCTGACATGCACGAGAAGATCCCTATGACGGCCGACACACTAATGCCCATTTGCTCCATCTCGAAACAAATGTTCTGCGCTTTAGTGGTTGACTTGCAACGTAAGCCAACGCCTCCTATGGCTACCAACGGCGACGTCATGGAACAATTTAATCAACGGCTCACTGAATTACTCAATCCCCAAATGACCCAAGGGCGCACCTTGATAATCGACCATCTATGTGACAATCATTCCGGCATTCGCGACTACTTCGCGCTGACGTTGCTTTGGGGCGCAAGCCCAGAAGATCGTTTCACCTTATCTGAACACTGTCCGTTGATGCTGGATCGGCTGAAATCATTCCATTTTCAACCAGGAACCGAATACTCGTACGCCAACACCAATTTTCATATTCTGGCTCGGGTCATCGAGGATGTAAGCAAAGAACCGCTCCACTCGTTGCTTGCCAACAGAGTTTTCGCTCCAGCAGCGATGAAAACGGCCCGATTCTGTCCAGACTTTGCAAAGCTGCCCTCGCATACGCCATGCATTGGCTATGAAGGAGACGAGCAAACCGGATTTCGACCTGCAATTATTCGAATGGAGTCCGCTGGCGACGCCGGCATTCTTTGTTCCCTGACTGACCTGGTAGCTTACGAAGCATACCTAGATCGGAGCTTAACTGATCCCCGTAGCTGGTATCATGCTGTAGTCAACGGGTCGCAGTACAGCGATGGTACTAAGTCGAGGTATCACTACGGTCTGCGTCATGTCGACATCAATGGAACCACAACTGTGGGCCATTCCGGCACGATCCGCGGCTTTTGCTTGTCGAGGCTTCAAGTACCAAAGGAGCGCCTGTCAGTGGTGGTTATGCTTAATCAGCAAAGCAGCGCACCCACCATGGGGGAGGACATCGTCCGAACCATGTTGAATTCGAAGAGTTTGCCCACTGAACTAGTAGATCCGTCTCCGTTCTGGTTTGGTACATTCCTTGACAAAGGTACACAACTCCTACTGCGGGTGAGAGCGGGAACCAGCAAAGGGGACCTGAATATCAAATTTTCGCGAGCTCCCGAGACCGTTTTCCTCACGAGCTCTCACCATGCTAGGTCACGAGACATGGTTGCATCTATCGACGGAGACAGCTTGACTATTCAACGCCTGGAAGAGCACATGACAATCAACGCCACACGGCTCATATCGGATGGATCTTGTACTGATTACTCATTGTTCGTTGGTGATTTTTACAGCTCAGATGTCGATTCGGTTTTCAACTGCCGCGACCAAGGAGGCGTACTATACGGATATTTTGACGGATTCATGGGCAAAGGGCCCGCTCAGGTGATGCACTATCTTGGACAAGACGTGTGGTCTTTCCTATGCCCACGTGGGATAGATGATCCCGGCCCAGGTGAGTGGACGCTCGTTTTCCACCGTGGCGCAGATAATGGAATATCGGGTGTGACGATGGGGTGTTGGCTGGCTCGACGAGTGGAGTTTACTCGAGTTTAGAATGGCGAGATTCCCTGGAGGATAAAATCTGGCTCCTTGAGCAAACCTTGCGGGAATAGGCAACGCGCGAGACTGGTAATGCGATGGGCTGTTCCATTTTACTGGCAGGGGCAATCAGTCAATCAATCAATAATCATCTAACGTCCGAAGCGCTTTGAGCTGAAAGCAAACCTGGAGATTATTTGAAAGTCCTGTAATCCTCGTCTTAGATAGCGCTAGATATAATGGAGAACTGATTCCGAACCTAGAAGACTTCACATTTCTCAAGGCGACCTTAACGCTCGCCCATCGTCCGGGTCATTTTTGCCTCCAGTCCCCGATCGGGCCCCGGCCGGGGCTCCTTCTGCTCTTCGATACAGTCGTTTCACCACTCCTTAAATGCTTATCTATTATATAAGTGTGTCGGTAGACCTTTTTCCTCCCTAGAGAGGCCTAGAAAGTAGCAATAGTACCCCCATATTCTCTCAAGATGCTGGGGCAGTAATAGCTTCTTATCCTTCCAAGCAACTACATCAGTGCCGATATGGGCATGCCACTCCAAGGGCGTAAACCCGGGGTCATAGTTAATATTGATTAATATAATTATTTGGTTATCGAGGTCTGCCTAATTTATAGACTAGGTGCCGATGTAGAGGAAGACTAGTGGAACGGAAGATAATCGGAGAAGATGGGGTGATCTACCTGGATCATTATATTACATACCAAGGTGCGGATCTGATCCTCTCAACGTCGCACCGGACGATGACGGCTTGGATGGATTACCGGTGTGATGATGGCTTAAATGGATTCATTCTGACGTACTGCTTTTGACTGGCGGTGCTGTAACTAGGCAGCTGGTCGTGGGCCACCTAGATTGGGAGCTTGGGGACATAGGGACTGACAAAAGGGAAATTTCTGGTTTTGGGTCTGTGCCTATATTATCCCATTTCAAGTAATCAATAGTTATAGATAATCATTCTAATGCTAATTCCTGAGGAAGATTTAGATGAGGTACCAAAAGTAAAGAACTAAAATAGCATTACAATATAATGCCATGTAAAGTACAAGCCAGCACCCACATGTAACATTTAGACCGCAAAAGGTAAAGAATAGTCACACACAGACGCCACCAGCCCCTACAATCACCTTGTAAGCCCCTCAAAACGCATATTAGTCCAGTACTAGGTACCCCTGCCCACATGCTCTTCCATTTTCCTTTCCCTTCAAACAGACATTTGTAAAGCCACCTATGAGGGCATATGATCCCAAGATCATGATGCGATACCTTCCCAGGACTTCGGGATAAGTGCTTGTGTCAGGCCCATCGCAAGGCAAGCGCCTTACCCCTCAACCGTAAAGGAACCGGCCTCCTGTTTCAATATGCAGCTTAACGACCGGTCGTCTGTGCCGGAGAGCGAAAATAGGAACAAATGTGCGACACCCCGCGAAGTCCCTGCACCCAACATGTGTTGAAAAGTCCTGGGCCATCATCGTTGGGATTGTCATAATGCGCACGCCCTGTTATCAAGTCCATATCCTCCAACTTGACCCATGTCGTCTTCTTGATTAGTTTCCAGCCTACGTATAGGACCAAGAAGATGACGATAACCACATAGCTGGTAATGAAAGTGGCAACGTTGAACGGCTTCAGAAAAGCCGTATATCCCGAGATGATAACCAGAATTATGTTGAATATCGCGACGAAATATGCACCGTACGGGAAGAGTGTGGCTCTGAAAGGTAGGTCTTTGGGACTGAAACCTTGCTTTGCGTACGCCCTGCGAAATCTGATATGGGTGATACCAATGGAGGCCCAGACGATGAAAGTAGCGGAACCGGATAGGCTGGTAACGTACGTAAAGACAGATGCAGCGCCGCTAAACTGATTCAAGATAGCAAGCAGGCCGAAAAAGTTGCAAAAGATTATGGCTCGGACTGGGACTCCCTTCTTTGTAGTTTTGGCGAAAAAAGAAGGTGCACGATGAGACAGAGCGAGCCCAACGAGCACTCTCGAAGAAATATACAAGACGCTTAATGACATCATTCCAGTGAGGATGAAAACGTTGATAAGATTTTGTGCACCAGACCATCCTGCTCGGTTCAGCGCAATAGTCCAGGGAGACTTTCCCGCTTTTGAGGTTCCTAGCTGGAACGCCGGGTCGTCATATGGAACAAGGAGCGTGGTGAAGAACATCATTCCGACGAAGATGACGAAGATCCGCACAACGCTGAGACGGATAGCCTAAGAAACAGTTAGTAAATGACCAGGCACCACGACAGTTGCTGGATTGACCTTTGCCATATGTTTTGTGGGCGACTGCGACTCAGATCCTGTGAGTGCTACAACTTCTGACCCTGTGTAGTACGCTGCCGCAAGCACAAAGGCCTTGCCAAATCCATTAAAACCGTTGACAAAGGTGCCGGGGTCGCTCCAATAGTGGAAACCAATATATTGTCCTCCGATAGCACCGGTGTTAAGGAGGATGGCCAGAAGGAAGCCAACAAAGATGAATATGACCTTAGAGGCGGCAAACCAAAATTCGATTTCTCCGTAAACGGAGACCTCGACGAGGGAGATCGCACCAAATACTACCCAGGCAATAAGAACCCAGCCATATGTAGGAACTTTATCAGTCCATAGACTCATCACCAAGGAGAAGTTGTTGTACTCGAGCGCCAAGTTCGACATCCACTTGCTAGAATCAGCTACGGTTACCAGCCAGAAAACGATAGGAATGAGTATACCAAGACCCAGTAATTCCATGCCTAGATCGTTCTCAGCAATCAAATCTCTAGTAGCTGAAAGAGGTACTCACCAAGGCAAAAGATGCAGCAGGGTCGATAAACCGGCCAGCAAGCTGCATAAAGATGAGGATTATTTCTTCCATCGTGGAGGGGAAAGTGGAGACTTTACCTCGTTGAAAGCCCCTGGAACCGGAAACATTGCTGTCAACTCCCCCAAGCTCTGCATGACAAAATAGAGGTCAAATCCAATCACCAAGAAGGAGATTATGAGAGAACCCTTTCCATGTCAGCATTTTTCTCCTCCGTCGTCGAGCCATGTGGATATCTCACGGGACCGCCGTATTGTAAACCAATCCCACCACCGTACCAGATGCTAGAACTAAGACAGGGTCAGCATAGTCGAAGCAAAAGCAAAGAAAACGACTGGGCTTCGGTACCCGATCACGCTTCCAAGGGCGAAAAGCTGAATGTGCCTTCCTTTCAAGCCTTTTTGGAGGCCATTCTCCATGACCCTGCCATTTGGCGCCAGTTCCAGAGTTTTGACTTCTCCATGTGTGGAAGAATTGTCCACCGCAACGACCTTGGAATCTTCCATATTTCTGTTTCGTGTATGCCAACGTTTGATGCATAAAACTTTGTTCATGAACACCGGATGCGCCAGGGTCTTTTATAAGGGACAGGGCGGCCTCATGACTCGAGGAGACAACTTGGACCGTTGAAGTAGTGGAAACCTAGTACACAGCATCATGCCTCTGATTGGTGGCTTTGTCTAGCCGAAGCACTTGGGTCGTCCAATCAGACGACACCGCCCGTAGGCTTCGACACCAGGTTTTGGCCCCTGGCCCCAACGCCGACAGTTTCGCTCCATAATTACCCCATACCCCAGTTTTCGGTACCCCGCCTTGGGTCTGAAGGCTCCGCCTTTGTCACCTAGGGTGACGCCTCGTTGTAACAGGTTTAACGCTCTCTTAGCGATTTAAGGCGACCTGTTGAGAATGAGCATGTGTCACGTAGCTCGGTTGTGCCAATGACCAAGTGGGTCGTCAATTAGTCCACATCAACGCCGCCAATGGTGTTTGACACCGGGTTTTGCAATAGTAGGAAACACGGGGACAAGGAAACGAGAACGTTGACTGGAAAGAATTCCAGTACATGGTTTAGTTCTTTGGGGGTTACCAAAAAAATGTACCACCGCTTATCTAAATGGTACGACTTTCTTTTTGCATAGCCTCGCTTCCTTTTCGTCACAATCGGGATGCTGCAGTACAGTGATAGGCCCAATGATGCCCACTCATAATGGGAAATACCTCACGGACCTAGAGCAGGAGCTTATCTCCGAACCCCACCACGTCGGCATCATGATCTACCTGTCCAATGTATCAGATGAACCAGCAAAGCAGGCCACCGGTCTGTCAAAGGCGCCTGCCGTCTGGACTCATTCTGCAGCAAGAGCGTGTTGGCATCATCCTCGCAATATTCCGGATGATATTCTTAGTCTAGTTGGAGATGGACCAGAGAAAAATGAGGGCGTGATACACTCTTTTTTTTTTTTTTACCAGCGATCCATTGGTCCAGATGGATCTACTAAGGTATCGAGTGTCGCTCATCACATTGAACTTGCAGGAAATGTAGGGCAGAAGCATGTCGGGATTGGTTCGGATTTTTGACGGCATATCTACACCAGTTGAGGGTTTAGAAGATACCAGCAAGTATCCCAATTTGGTATTAAAAGCCTCAGAAGAGATATGTAAATAGCCGCTAATTTCATGCAGATTGCGGTGATGATTAGGCGGCATTAGAGCAAGGATGAAATTAGCAATCTGATGGGCGGCGACCTGATGCGAGGCATGGACGAGGTTGATGCTGTCGTGATTCTTTGCAGCGTTCTGGTGAGCTGCCATCAGCTGCCATTTTGGGAAAAGCGGTTCGACCTCCCTACAACTTGGGCTAGACCTGATTATGTGTCTTGCCTGATGAGGCTACAGTGTGGTGACTTGGAGAGTTGTTCTATAAACTTGAAACGACCAAAATCAGTTACAAGTAGACAGTCCTCATAGACAATACCATTATACATCTGGACAGTTCAGTGAGGTTGGATAAACCCTCAGTGGTATAATAAGGTCTGGTTTCCTAGAAGACCATAAAAGAATTTCGGACACCTTGACCGCTAGAGAAGTTTTGTGATTTGGCAGTCAAACTTTGCGACTTTTGCTCTCTAGAGGTACCAATCTCAAGCTAGCATATTTACTTACAGTTCGCCCAGTGTTCTATGACGCCCCCGCGGATGATCGGAAATACGCTCTATTGTTAAAACTAAACTGCTAGAGTCGCGTCCGTGGCCCGTCCGAGTGTAATGAGATATATCGCAGAGTTTCTTCGGCGGATCCAACCGCGTCAGTCGCCATCCCATATCCTGCCTGAAATCCAGTTCCTCCAGCGCCATAGTTATGAACAATCATTCCTGTGCGCTTTCCATCATCAAGAATGATTTCCTGCTTGGCAATTCGGGCACCCCCTTTTCGTGAGGGCCGTAAACTTGCGAAAACGGCGAGTTGTTCTGTCCTTGGAGAATCAAGATCAGGCAGTAATAATTTTGTTCGTGACAGAATTGACTCAGTCTCCTCCTTAAAAGTGTCGCCCGTTCTGTTCATTAGGTGAGTCTTGTGTTGATTCTCAGAGCTCAAACTAAGGCCTTCGAAAAGTACGGCAAACATCATGTGCCAACAGATCTTATTGGCCACCCAAGGTACTGCTTACCTAATACCGTTCTGCATGAATCCACCTAGTATCACATTTCCGTTCGAGCCAGGTCTGGGGATGATATACGTCTCGTAGTCTTTTCCGTGTCGGATCACATTCTGAGTGACGTGTCTAGCTTTGGCCAGTACTACTTGGCCTCTGGTCGGGAAGCATTTGGAATCTTGAACACCGGGCAAGAGTCGGGAGGCATTTCCTGTGCAGTTGAACACCACCTTTGTATCTTGGGTAAGAAAAGCTGACTGAATCCCTGAAACCCTTCTGCGAATGACCTGAATACCGTATTCTTCTGTGAGCCTCTGGATAAGGTAGCCCAAATGCATCGGCGCATTCAGTGTCACCGTTGTGAAGGTAATGCCAAACGCTACGCCTTCCGGTAAGGTCTTATCTGGTATAACTTTGAACTGATACAGGGTGAGTAACGAGGCTCTGCATTAATTCTAGGAGACAAAGACCTACATCTTTAAGATATGACATCATTGATGTCAGCTTCTCCGGGGCGGGCTTTTCGTCCCAGTACTCTGTTGAAGGTGTTGCCTGAACAAATGCTCTCGCGCCATCCTGACTTGCAAGGCGTAATAGATATTCGTATCCGAGTCGGTCCCAACGTAATGCGTTCTTGTCACTTGCAGAAATTGCAGAAAAGTTGGCACCAGCCCTGTTATATCCATTATTTATCGCCTATGAACAAAAAAAAAATTCAGCAGACTAACCATGGGGAAGTGTAGTTGATGGATGTATCACCCGGAAGGTGCTCGGCAACGATGGTTGTATTTTTGGCAAAGCCCTTTTCCGCAAGAACCAGAGCTACATTTAGCCCAATAACTCCTGCGCTATTAGAATGCATGCGTCAGTTGTGGGAAATGGTAGTTCAGAGAGCTTTACTCACCCAAGAACTACAATAGATTCGGCTGGCATTGTGATAATTGAAGATCTCCAAATGTTCTGATGCGGCAATTGTAAATGAATTTACTGACTACTCCTCAGCCCGCGGTTGATATAAATTTGTTTTCTCTTTCTACCTTGCTGATATTGACACGAGAGGTGATTGGCGGCATTCTTTACTGGAGTTAGCGGCGTCGTTTTGGAAGGGAATAGCCAAAAGGTTCATGCATGGGGCTAGTTACCAATTATTATCGCACACTTTTGTGGCAGAGCCATTGTTCGCTATCCACTAGCATTCGCCTTACTGGAGCAAATTAATGTTCTCTGAGCTGCCGTGGCCGGAGAGGGGGAGTCCTACCCGTCCCTGACTACCTCTGCAAGCTCGCTTAGTCCCCCCCCCCCAAAACAAAAAAAAAACGAGTATTACTACCCGCATGGCTGCTTAGTGCCATTGATATGACCTCATTAGTTAGACCCCAACTAGATCACCTAAGAATAGAATAGCTAGCCTGCCCACCCATTTTTCAGTGTAAATTCTCAGCTATGTACTAACTACCTAATTTTTGTATGTGAGACGGGTTGTGGACAAGGTGTCATGTTTTTCCTTATTGCCATCCTCCACCCCCGTACCTGGGAGGGTGGGCCCCGTATGGGGGAGGGTGGAAATGGGGTGGAGGACCAAAAGCCGTCCGTCGGCTCGCCTTGCCAGAGAGCTTGGCAGAGGGTCCTTTTAAGGCGTAAGCGGGCCGAAGAACGCCACCAATGAAGACAAAGCCTTAATTCGAGCTGCTATCGAAGTACAGCTTCAGGTAGCCAGCATGGTCGGGTGCGTAGGGTAATCGCGAGAATCTGGCCGCCTCATGCTTTTGCACACTACAGTCACCTGTACAAAAGGCTTTCGGCAAGCTTTGGGTATGGCAAGACACCTCTAAACTTTTGATTGAGGAGAGCAGAGCTCTTATTATGACTATAGCAGAGGTCAGCTTCACCTCCCACGTCAGGTAATGATGAGAGTACAGATCGCCTTCTTCAAAAAAAAATCGAGGAGATAGAAAGAAAAAGTATGAGATAATACTTTGATAGCCAGCAATCCCCATTCCCATTCCACCAGACTCAGTTTTGCCAGCAAGTCGCCCGAAAAGGGACCAATGAGATCGAATACCGATGACGGTTGGCTCCGTTGCCTCCACGGCGAGGCACACAGGGCTACAAGTTCCAGACACCCTTAGATCCGCCATTTAAAATCCCATGTCAGCCTTCTTCCTCCCGAATTGTTCGCAATGCACTAACACAGTTACGAATCTGCAACCCACCAGAATCACTATCTCCAAACTCAAGATGTCTTCCCCCCAGATTGGTGACCGTATCGACACCATTGATACACCATCGATGATCGTCGACCTCGACCTCTTTGAAGCCAACCTCAAGAAGCTGATGGACAAGCTCCTACCAACGGGTCTGAAGATTCGGCCTCATCTAAAAACCTCTAAGAGCACGATCGTGGCCAACAAGATGGTCAAAGCAGGCGCCAAGGGCGGCTGTGTCGCCAAAGTGAGCGAGGCGGAAGTCATCGCCGCGGCTGGTTTTGACGACCTACTTATTACCTGTGAGGTCGTTGGTTCTACCAAGGTCAAGAGGCTCGTAGAATTGTATCGCAATCATCGAAATATTCGGATTGTGGTTGATAGCGAGGTCGGCGCGACGGCAATTAACGATGTTTTGGCTGCTTCAGGCATTCAAGAGCCGATCATGACTCTGATTGATCTCGACGTGGGCCTTCATCGTACCGGTGTGGAGCCTGGCGAGCCGGCCTTGGCCCTAGCTAAACATGTTGGTGGGCTGAAGCATTTGAGGCTTATCGGCGTTCAAGGCTACGAGGGTCATCTCCAGCATCTGCATGATTATGGAGACCGTAAGAAACAATGCTTGGAATCGATGCGAGTTCTGACGGGTACTGCGGACGCGCTGCAGAAGGCAGGCTTCAACATTGAAGTTGTGACGACGGGTGGTACTGGTACTGCTGAATTCTGCGCCACTGTTCCAGGTGTTACGGAGCTCCAGCCCGGATCATTTATCTTCATGGACACGGATTACCGTAATTCTATCGGCACATTCTACTCCAACAGCCTTACCATCCTGGCGACAGTTCTGAGCTCACAAGGTTCCCGGACTGTGACGATCGACAGCGGACTGAAGTCATTGACAACGGATAGTGGGCTTGCGGAGTGTAAGGACTCCAGGTACAGATATGGTGTTCTTGGTGATGAGCATGGCTCACTTACGTGGGAGGAAGGGACGCCGACACTTGTGGTTGAGGATCGTATCGAGATAATTCCGAGCCATATCGACCCGACGGTCAATTTGCATGATTGCTATTACGCTTATCGCGGTGGCGTTATTGAGGAAATTTGGCCTGTCGATTCGAGGGGAAAGGTCCAATAGTGCAGGAGATGCTATTTTCCTGAGCCACGTGTGTGCAGGAGGGCAAAATTTTCCTTGCCATGTTCCAATTAGAACAAATAGAAATCAAATTGTTAGATTTTGGGTGCGCTCGAATCTGAGATCGAGGCATATTTTGAGTTATCCATAAAGAGAAAGATGTAGGACAGTTTCGGACGTGCCTAGACAACTTGCACTTAGGCCCCGATACAAGCCAGAGATGCCTTCTGTCTGTACGACTTGGCGGGCACAGTCGAAGCCATTTTTGGGCTGACGAACCAAAGCATTGTCTATTTTCGGTCGAGAATTATCCAGCTGTAATCTCGTCTTGACAAGCCAAGTGGGTTCGTTAAAGTCGCTGTCGCAATATCGGCAGCTACGGCAGCCTGAGCGTGGATGATGGGCGTGTCCTTATCGCAATCAAACAAGCCCGATCCTAGATGCTTAGCTAATGCACGAGCACTGAAGAGCTAGGGTTTCAATGAGGCGGCAGCACTTTGTTGATAACTAGTGAGGGAATGTTTATCTAAAAGAGGGAATAGGGGGTTCAATTAGGGTATACTTTATAGCACTCACATTTACTCGACGACAGCTTCACTTTCACTTCACTTGTCCCAAGTGAAGTAAGAACCAATCACAGCCAGCCTGGGGGGTCCAACCCGTCCTTCCCTCAGGCTGCCGTACAGGTCATATGACAAGCGGCCTAGCTGAGAGGCCTAGTTCGCAACAGTCTGTTGCTTGCAATTCGGTGCGGGGCCTTTTTGTGGGCCCGGCGGGGGACTCGCCCCGTTTTCTGAGGGCGTGGCCGGTCTATATAAGCTGCGGGTCGTATCCAAGGAAGCGGGGTAGGATGTCTATTACCGCACCTCTTCTTTTCCACTCGTCCTAGCACGTTAGTTATTAGCGGCTATGCGCATAGTGCTGAACCGTAAGATCCGGCCGCATTACTCAAATATCATTTCGGTCAGGCGTGTCAAGCTGGTCGCCACTTCTCTCATGTCATGCGCCGATATATGAGCAAACGACAGCGGCCTTGTGATATTTGTCGCTCTAAAAAACGGGCCTGTCGTATTGACCACGGCCCTCCCTGCCAATTATGTCGACTCAGTGGACAAAATTGCACCTTCGTCGATTCTGCTCGCCCCCGCAAGAAGGGGATTGAAATCAGCAGTATCAGCTCAACAATGTCGTCTACCAACAACCAAGCCGCGCCTCTCGCGCCCACTTCGATGCCGCCGGAGAATGGGCTTGGCATTATTTCTCCAAAGCCAACAACCGCGACATCTGCGGCGCCATTGGGTCCAGACAGTCAGGGATGTTCGCTCTCCGGCATTAGCACGCAATTCTGGCAGGACATCGACTTATATGGCTCAGAGTATCAATTTTCATTCGGAGCGCCTCTCAGCTTGGCATCTACTTTCTCGTTAGTGGGCGATGCCATCGATCCATCCACACCTGGTTCAACACCAACATCTCCGAACGGCTCTACAGAGTTACTGCTTGACAAACCAGACAGCAGGCTAGGGATCCTTGGTCTGACAGGTGATTTGGACCCTTATATACTGCGCCAATGCCGAACAGACGATCAGGGCATCACCAAGTTCAAGGAGCTGTCTGTTTACTGTGCCGAAGTTCAGCCAACTCCGGTGCAGTTTATGCTCTACCCACCGCACTTCTTTACGAAGAGTCAAAAGGCGGAGGGCATCATCACTGACAACGAATCCTGTTTGAAATTACAACTTGAGAAAATTGTGCCACCATCTACTGGAAAGGGATTGATTTCTCTTTTTTCGAGGTTTATCGCAGAACAATACCCCATCTTCTCTGCTTCACAGCTTCCCGACCCCGGATCCAGTCCGACGCACCTGCTAGCGGCAACTTACACTATAGCCGCGCCTTTTGTCGCGCACGATGACAAGCTGTACATGAACTTTGCGTACGATAAATTCCCATACCCCGCGGTGGCTCATTTACTGAAGACCTCCCTGCATGGACAGCTACATGCACCAAATCTCGAAACCATTCAAACTCTTGTGCTTCTTGTCATCAAGCCCTCCCCTCAACCACTAGTATCCGATGGGTCTTATCGATGGATTATGATGGGAACACTTGTCACCGCCGCAACCAACATCGGGTTGCATCTGGATCCCACGTTGTGGAAATTGCGACCATCAGAGATAGCGCTGCGACATCGCCTCTCCTTCTTGATCTTCTCCATCGACAGATGGCTTGCATCAACCCTCGGCAGACCGCCGCTTATCAACACTGATAATTGGCTCATCGTATCACTGTCTGCAACAGATAGGCTCGACTCCGGCATCGGCGAAGACAAATGGCCCCAGATGATGAAGTTGTCATCTCTGACAGGACTTCTGAACTTGGCTCTTACTACCTTTTAGTGAGTATACCTTGTATCCTCTACGGAGCGAATAAATTGCAGGCTCTTAATTGACTCTTCTAGCAACCTTCGTTTTGTCCATTCTGGAGACCAGGATCCAAACCAGTCTGTGAACGAAGCCATAGGTCTCACTGCAAGCTTGCACGACACGTGGTCTTCAGTCACTGAAAATGATTCATCCCCGCATGAATCACCTTTACTAGAACTCGGCTATCATTACATCGATTTCATTATCCTCCGCGCCGCACTTCGGCCGCTGTTGTCCGGGTCTAGCAGCGATTTCCTTGGCAGCGCAATCGTACAGTCTATACGGCAAAGAATAAAACAGTGCATCGCAAGTTTCATAAGATTTATCGAAAATCTGAGCGCCCAAGATCTGATCGAGTTTTGGCCCCCCTGGGTCCCGCTCGCCATCTCAACCCTCGGCTACACACATTTCACAATGGTTATGTCATCATCCAACGACGATGAGGCGCTAGAATGGAACGAGTCGCTTCAATGGAGTCGAAGGGTGCTACGTAAGCAAGCCAATTTGTCGTATATTTTTTCGCTGGGGCTGTTGCGAATCGACTTGGTATTTTGCAAAGGCCCTGAAACTGTTTTTCATCTCTCGCCGCATGCCGTGCGGGCATTGTCGGTTTCAGAGAATACATTATAGGTGGAGGGCTTTACGGGCTTGAAAGCAGTTTTTGTGTCAACCGGTAGGAACAGAGTTGAGTTTACCACTGGAGGCCGTGGTTCAGTGCTTGTGAAGCTGGCTGAAAGGCCGCAAGTGTTACGCCCTGGCTCTAGGCGACCCAATACATCACGTGATACCCACATTTCTTCCTAGTCACCATCAGTCCCCAGGCTGCTCAGCGGCGCCCCCGCCTAATCAGCACTAAAGGCTTTCCTTGTTTTTCACACCCGCCATCTCCTCTGTCAAGTTATCGCTTTACCTCTTCATTCCTTGTAATTTCTTGTATAGAAGCCTTCTACATGCCTCGCGGCCTCCATTTTAATAAGATCAATCCTTCTCATTCCCACCTTGGACTTTCATCGTATCTTCAGAGTTGACCTGTGTCAGTATCATGCCTCTCACTCGTGGCCATGTCTCTACCACCGCCACTGATGGCAGACCTCTCTCCATCATCTACATTCATCCCACTGAATCCACTAGTATCTGGGGCGAGGTTGAGGCACTGCGAGCTTTCGCCGCTGCCCTGACTAGGGGAGAAAAGTTAGGAAATGCCAAAGGACCAAATCAACTAGTCAACTGGCTAGTCGTACCTTTCAGCTTTTCGTCATTCAGTTTGCCTTTTTTGGATTGAAGCCTTTCACCAAGGCCATTTACGCCCTCTTTTTGCTGATTGAAAAGAAATATCCTGGCCTTCATGAATGAATGACTCCTCCAAGACGTTTCGGGAAAGAGGTATGGCAGGAAATAAGGCCGATATTTGAAGGTTGCTGAGTGAAATTTGTGGAGAGACGACTGCTTGAGTTTCAAGGCCACGGAAAAGTAGGTACGTTGTAGTTGCAACCGTCCGGTGGCTGCCAGACCCAAGAATAACTGATGATGAAGCATACCCCCCACCCCATCCCCCAACCCCGTAGCGGCGGCGTGCTTCAAGGCAGTGAATTGCCTATCCTCCCCCTCCCCCCCTTTTTTTGCCCCTCGGTCCCATCTGGTGACGGCATTATGCGACGTAAAAGGGGCTTTGACCCTGGCCTCTCGGAGTTATGGTAGTATGGATATGAGACATCCATGGAAACTATTCCCCCTAAAGTTCCCTGCATGAAGTAGCTGCCCTCTTCGGCATGCTCTCACAAACCAAGGCGAAATTGTTGTACACAAGCGCCAAGTTCGAAATCCACTGGCCAGAATTAGCTGTGGGTTACCAATCAGGGAACGATAGGCGTTAGTATACCGAAGCCCAGTAACACCATGACTAGGTTATTCTCAGCAAGTAAAATCTCTCAGCGAATAAAACAAGCACTCACTAAGGAAAATGACGCAGCAGGGTCCAGAAAGCGGCCAGCAAGCTAAGTAACGGTGAGTGCCATCCTTCGTCGTGGAGTAGATAGACTGGCAGCTTACCTCGTTGAAAACCCCTGGGACCGGGAACATCGTTGTCAACTCCCCTAAACTTTGCATGACAAAATAGATGTCGATTCCAAGCACCAGGAAGGATATCATGAGGGGACCCTTTCCACGTTAGCACTCATACCTTGTCGCTCATGCAGGCATCTCACCGGACCGCCGTATTGCAAACCGATGCCGCCGCCGTACCAGATGCTAGAACTAAGAAACTCATCAGCATATTACAAGCAATAGCAAAGAAAATTACTGAGTTTTATTACCCGATCACGCTTCCAAGAGCGAAGAGCTGAACATGCCTCCCTTTGAGCCCCTTTTGGAGGCCGTTCTCCATGCGCGTTGTCACGTTGCATCTCATCTTCGCGGTGAGTAGTCATTTTTCTGGTCGATGGTCCTCTTCCCTAGAGGGCAGAAGGATCAACTTGTCAGAAATTATGGGGTTGCTTAGAGGAGTGAAGACTAGATAATGACTCTATTACATCTAACTTGCATCTAACTCGCGTTAAGGCAGTTGCTAGCTATCCGATGCACAAGTTGGTCCTTGTCCCTTCTACTAAAATCCCGCGATTTGCCTGACTTATACACCAGGACGTTTATTCCACTCAGTTGCTGCATTGCTTGTAGTCCTAACCTCCCCCCATCAATAGATGCACTCAAGGAGGCCTCGAGAGACTTTACCTATGGCAAGTAGAAATCGTCTGCAGATTTTCAATGGGCCACTCTTGAAGCACTCCGATAATCTCCAGGGACCATCGGCATTCTCCAGGGCGATTACCGCATCGATGTCTTGCTTAATTTTCATAACTGACGGTTCCATTGCCGACAGAACAGACCCTTTCCCGTAATCTGTGTAATTACATTGATAGCGGCAGAGTGGTATCCACCTGGTTTGGTTAGCTTCGGGTACGCTCTGAATTCATAGTTAGAGGAGACACACGTTGTCTCAACCATCGAGGTGACTCTGGGAGCAAGAAATCCAACCGACTTGCAAGGCGATGAAGACAACTTGAAAAGCAATGACCAATCTCCACTGAAAAGCACCACTGGCATAAGACATGCCAATGTTGAAGTAGTAAGCGATGACAATACCGAAGGCAATCGAGTTGCCCTCGATGGCAACATGACGGCCTCGATTCTTTGCAAGGACTAACTCGGACACCCAGAGGGGGTTGTTGTCGCTGTGTTGAAGCCGTTACCCCGGCCACTAGAAAGTTGTGGTAGGGTTTATTCAGTTCATTCTGTATGAGACCATACCAGACAATGCGGGCCCACGATTATCTGTAGAACACCAAACGATGATACCTGTAGCACGGCACCGATAAATTGCAGTAAAGCTCCAATGTAAAGACACTTTTTTATCTCAAGCGTGCTCCCAACGAAGAAAACAGTCATTGCTCCGCAGAAGCACCCTATCCTGCGCTCGTTAGCAAGATATTGTAGCAACTACTTGATTTACGTACTCGTAGATGGCATTGATAATTCTCAGGAGACTGGATGAAGGATAGCTGATTGCCGAAGGAAGTCATCGGAAGCGTTCAAACCCTGTATAGCAGCATCTGTGAGTAAGCCAGCAGGGTCGTGACGTGAGAATTGCCGAGTCATTCGATGAAATATCAAAGCAATAACATCCCAGTGGATTTTGCGGAGTTAGTAATGCTATGTGTCTATATCCAATATAGCTGATTGACCCTCGCGCCTGGAGTAACGTGGGCTGTGGAGTTCTAAAAGTTAAAATCTGGGGTCCGAGCACACCCCCATGGGGGCGCTGCTCGAATTATGGGGTGGGTCACTCCTTAGTCATCAGCGCCGTTGATTTTTATTGGTGGCATGCAAAAGACCAGGCGTAAGAGGGTGGACGGCTCGCTATTGCCCCCACCATTTTCTCTCGCCCTGTTGAGAGCTTCAGGTTCTCTATGGGGCCGGGAAAATGAATACGTGATCCAAACAAGCAATTGTACTGCTGGCTCACAGGCTCTTTGGACTGTACGCAAGTGTCGCAGTTCTTCCGAAGACAGTATCGCTCGTGGGGAAATTTATGCCAGTGTACTTGTCTGCATTATTATGCACACGACGCCTTCATCATAAGAAATCAAACGCATGCGCTGTAGGTACGAAACGACTGTGGAGAGAATCCCAAAGCCACCACTCCCTCATGGAGTACTGTGGTAACAAATTGGTGGGTGTGGCCTCGGAGAGGTGTTTTTGGCGTGTCATCCTGTCGCAGCGCACACGGCAGAGACCTCCATTGTCAGTTGCAAATTGGATCTCGGCGCCGCAACTCCATACCGATGACAGGGTATACTTGCCGGGCTCAGTCACGCTCGCTTGTTGGTGCCCAGGTGGAAGGCTGGAAGATCCCGCCATCCGGGTCGAAGACAGGCCGAAGGCCCTCGGCATGTTCCGCGCCGTTGGCCATACACGTGGGGTCAATAGGTAAGTCCGCCATGTCGAGCCTGGAGGTTCGCCGACCCTTCGAATCCAGTGGCTTAGGGGTGTGTCGCTGCCTGCACTTCGGGCCAAGGGAGGGTTTGACGGGTTGAGCCAAAAACTGGGTACGAAGCCTGGTGTCAAGGGCCATTGGTGGCATCGATATTGGCTGATTGGATACCCTGGGCTGAGGAAACGCCACCAATTAGACGTGATGATACGATGGCCGCCGTGTTCGGCTCCGCTTTTCCCCAGGTTTCGGCAACAACTCACCCGCTTAAAAGAACAAATTTATTTACAAGATATAATCGAATTATTGATGGCGGATCTTCTCCGCCTTTGACCATTTCAGCCGGGGCAATGGAACTTCTGCTTATCTACAATAAGGTCCTGGGCCTAGTTCTCTTTGGTATTGGGATGGGTGTATTCCTCTTGCCTAATTTCTACTAGATCCATTTCCGTGATGCAACTACGTCCTGCCTCTTGAAAGTTGGGAGGCGGTGGCTTCGCATGAAGAGGAATCTAACCAGTGATTTGCTCCCATTTGTAGTATGTGTATACCACCCTACCTCAGTGTATGCTTGGTCATTCGGTAAAATACTACTGAGCACGGATGGTATCCGAGACGAGGGGGGGGGAGCGGGAAGAAGGTAACGCATAAATAGAGTTCTGTTCCTGCCCAGGTTAGCATCTGTTGCTAGTCGTTATTATCTTTACATTAAGACGTTGAAGCAGAGCTAAAAGGCCTAAATTTCATAGCGCTTCTCATCGAACCCCCTTTTACCATGCGTCTCTCTTCAATTATCGCCGTGGCCACTCTTTCGGCGGTCCATGATCCCGTGACGGCTAGAGAGCTCCCGGTTGATGAGGAAAGAGCTGCCAGTAAGCTCAAATATTTTGAACGGCCCAGTACAACAAGCTGATCGGATCTCCAGGGCTCTACGACTCGGGTGTCATCCATCAGGAGTTAATCTCAAACAAAATTGTAGGTCAGGATGGGCAACGTCACTGCCTCCTTTAGTAATAATGTGTTTGCGTAGGCCCACTGGGAAGCAGAGATGGAGGCAGGCTTGATGGCTAGCGAGCAGTTTCCGCGACTAAACGCCACAAAATGCGTCAACGGAATTGCCGAGGCGATTTCAGGAGACCCATTACATACCTTCAGGTGCAAGAACGTGAGATCATACAACACCATCCAGGGTCGGCCCTTCACTAACTTTGCTACAAGATGGACTTGTTGGACTTTTTAAACCATGAGGACCTTGGCTCCACTGGCTACTACGAGAACATTCGATCTGGGAGCTCTGCCTGGGGCTGGACTGATCCCGAATCGGGTCGTGAGTTCATCGGTGAGTCTTAACCTACGCACTCGACTGGTTCGAGCAGCCATTGACTGTATGTTAAAAAAATAGCCTCTGGTGTATACGATGGTGTGAGCTTCATCGAGATCCTTCCCGAGGGGAAGATGTTGCCTCTTGGATTCTTGTAACTCCCTCTTCAATGCCCTTCGTGAAATTTTGCCAAACACTAACTCCCACGCAGACCAAAATGGGCTACGCTTGCCAGCGGTGCTTGGTGGACTGAGATTCGACCATACAAACAATACATGATCATCGGCAGCGAGCTCGTTGGTAATGGTGTCCAGATCTTTGATATGACGAAGCTGCTGCCCTTGGATGGTTCCAGCGGCATCCACCGCTTTACCAACGAGCAGGATCTCACTGGCCATTTCAATGAGACCCTCCCAATTGGTCGAAGCCATAACGTGGTGGTTAACCAGGAACTCAACTATGCCATTGCCGTCGGTGTGCAGCCGAGAGACCAATACTGCCTGGGCGGTCTCCACTTCTTTACTCTAGATGACCCTTCAAATCCCGTTTCTCTCGGCTGTGATGGCCAGGATGGTTACACCCACGACGTAAGATTGGGCCCCTAGTACAATCCTGCTTCAAATCCCTCTAACTTGACCACAGGCGCAATGTCTCGTTTACCGTGGGCCCGATGAGAAATACGTTGGCAGAGAGGTCTGCTACGGTTACAATGAGGATACTCTTACCATGTAAGCATACCCCAATCAAGCTATGAATCATCAGAAGCTCACGAAACGTGTAGTTTTGACGTGACGGACAAGACAGCCGTTAAAATCATCTCACGTGTCACGTATGAGGGCGCCACCTTCACTCATCAGGGTTGGGTCAACGACGTTAACAACCAGGAATACCTCTTCATGGATGATGAATTTGATGAATACAATCGCGTTGGGCCAGCAGCCGACGGGTACCCTGTCACGTACATCTGGAGCATTCATAATCTCGAAAACCCCAAGCAGACTGGGCTCTTCAAGGCAACAAACCGTGGCATTGATCACAATCAATACGTATGGGGTGACTACATCTATCAGTCCAACTACGGGGCTGGTGTTCGCGTCTACGACGTCTCTTCTGTGCGTGAGGACCCTACGGGTAACAGTGTGTGCGAAGTTGCCTTCTTTGACACCTACCCCGAAGATGACCAGGACGAAGGCGGTGGCGCCACCAGGTTTTCCGGTTCATGGCACTCTTACGCAGGCTTCAAGTCCGGTTATGTCTTCATCAACACGATTGAGCGTGGCGGATTCTTGGTCAAGCCCACCGGGTACCCCAATTGCCCGGCCAAGATGTGTAATGCCGACAACTGCCTGCGAGCCTTGCGCGCGGAAAGCATCAAAGACCGTCTGGAGGAGAGCCAGGAGTTTTGTGCTGACTTCACTGATGGTTGGAACGCACAGGTGACTGATGTCCCAGCGTTTGCTACGGAAGCTTGCACAGGCAATGTCATCAGTCGCGTATCATCGGCGTGTTCCTGTCTCCCAACTCCCACTGGTTCTTAAGTTCTAAGGAGTCTGATTCCATTTGACTAGTCTTAGTAGAGAAAGAAGTCAACAATTTTGGGTATGGAAATGGTCACCTATTTAAGTTCACGCTTTTAATAGATTTCTATTAGGCAGAGTATTAGTTAGGTCATATCTCTCCTTTTACCCTGATTCCAAATAAAATTTCTATTGAAAGAATGTTTTTAATATAATAATTAACTCATATCTATCGTCATTTGCCTTGGTAGTTCCTATATATAAAAACCCCGAAGGTATATATAGTACTTCTACATAAGGATCAACCAGCTCGAAGAGCGATGTAAGTCATTGATTTAGGGCCTACTTGCCTACCTCACAATTATGATCCCCTGCGCGGACATGAGAACTCTTCCTTGCACCTAGTTCATTGGGCTAATTTGCTTTCCCATTTCTTGAAACAGATAACAATCCTGACCGGACTGGACCTGACCTGACCCGTGTGACCTGACGTCAGGGACCTTAATCCGAAATATTTGCACTTCACCTCCGCTTCCGCCATACCATGCATCCTTTCGGTTTGCGCTTTCCATCTTGCTAAATCTTTCTCATCAAAATGGTCTTTTTGGGGTCGGGAAGTTGCTAAAGTAAAAGAATGGTCAATACACATCTTAATCCTTCGAGTCGTGCGGGTAGGGAATGATTACCTGGGATCCCATCTTGAGATTTTCATACCTCCCCTCGACTCCATCCGGCATCTTCATTTCATAGTGCAACAATGCCGTTGCCACTACCATTTTAATCTCATTGGCGGCGAAAAATCGTCCGGGGCAAGCGTGCCGGCCGTACCCAAAGGCCAGGCTCGAGGTTCCGACGCTCACGAACTGGCTATTCGCGACGATTTCGGCGGCTGATCTCCCAGTTCCAGATCGTTGCTTAGTCTCGCGCATCTTGTGAAAGCGAAGCGCATCAAATGTCTCTAGGTCCTCAAAGAATTCCGAGTCCTTGGACACACTACCGGCGGCTATCTCAATGATTTGGCCCTTGGGAATTACTTGGCCACTCGAAAGCGCGAAGGACTTGAGGACCTTGCGCTGGAATGAAGCTGGAACCAGTGTTAATGGCATATAAGGTAGGAATAGTCTCGATATGGGGACAGTCTTACATGCACTCATGGGGTGACATCGCATCGACTCCTTGAGAAAACTGTCGAGCTTCTTCATATTCTGCATCGCTAAGCTCGTGAACTGACCTCCAGATTGCTGGAGCGCTTGTTGGACATCCTCGCGAAGCATGGGCACGAGATGGGGCATTGCCGCCAGTGTGTAGAACCTGGATCATCTAAAGCGTCAGAGCGTCTCATGCTTGGAAGATGTAACGGGAATGTTTTATGCAACGTACGCATTGGTTGCTGCCAGGGTAGTTGTGTGAATGGCTCCAAAACTGAGGGGCAGCTGCAACTTGGCCAAGTTCTTGTCGTCCTGGCCAAACTTCTGAGAGTCGATGATCCACTGGAGTATGTCATCTGGTTTCTGGTAGTCATCGCCTTCCGCGGCCTGGGCCTTCTTCCGTTGAGTCACAACGGGCTGAAGAAAGGCATCGGCATCGTGGGTGCGTTGTTCTAACACGCAGCACTGTACCCGAGAGATAATCAATAAAGTCTGTTAAGCCATGGGTGAGCAAGGAGAGCCAAGAGCGCGCCGCATTTCTCAAGCTGAAGCTCCATTTATAGTACATGGGTATATTCTAGGACCGAAAACCATAGTGGAAGAGAGGGGCAAAAGGACTGCTGATGCCGTGAATAACAACAAAACTAACACCAGACCCGTCCATCTTCTTGGCCCATTTGGGCCCAGCACCTTCAATAGGCTGGAAGCTCCCAAACAGCTGGTACAGACTATTTGGACAACCGAAAGGGCGAAATCAATTAGCAATCAGCCACCGGCAAGTTAGAGAGAGGCATTGGGGTCATTTGAGGGGCAGTAGACTACAGGACCTTTTGGATGCCCTAGATTCAAGAGAATCTGTCGGTACTTGGAGGCATCTTTCATACGGCTACTTAGTTGTCCCCTGTCTCGCGCCGTTTTGCACTTGCCATAACTCTCTACTGATCCAAGTCGTTTCAGTATGTATTGCACCTTCCATGTTGCCCAATTACGCGCCAAGCGAACCCACACAGCCTCTACGAACAGAGGCCCGCCTGTCTTGACGACAAGTATGGCCGAACAGCTATGAGGGTCGAAGCAATATCGTGATTCCTGCCAAGTGAGGGGAGTACCTCTGACTATGTCGGCTTTCGTCCGTGAACGATATACCTAAGTCTTATGTTAGCCCTTCAGTTGCTTAGATAAGGGCAAGGTGCCCATACGCCGGCCAATATCCATGAATCCCACGGTTGTTGAGATCTTTCCTCACATCCGCCAGAAAGACCAACCTCTCTTCACGAGTCCATTTCAAGACCTGAGTGAACAATTATAGAGAGACGCCCTCTAGGCCAGCGCTATGCGATGCATGAGTCCACCTGCCCAGTTCTTTGTGCCACTCGTCCTTGGCCCAGCTATTGATCGGCAGTTTCACCTGTGTCTCCTCTACTTCCTCGAACCCTACGTCGGACAAAGCAATAAGAAGAAAAGTAAATAGTATTACTCCTTGATGGACATGGAGTCATTTACTGTCAAAGATATTTACCGACATGTCCAAAGGTATAGGGTAACTGAGACTAACGCCACTCCCTGTGGCTCATGCATGTCGTACAAAGCTCATTCCTAATGGTGGCTCATTTAATACTGACGTAATCTCGAATCGTGGCTCGTGATGTGGTTACGCCGGCTTCCACCATGCCGCAGTGAAATGGCCCCTCAGTTCCGTCTTGATCTTTCTACACAGCAAAGGGTAAGCTTCCGTTACTCTGGACGACCCCAAGCTTCACTACGACATATCGCCGTTGAGCGAATTGTGAATGCCGGGTAAGTCCACCAATTTGAGGCTGACTAAGCACAAATGAATGAAGCTTCCTCGGAGATTACTAATCAGCTTCTGCGCGAAACGAAACACAGTAAAACGCCACTTTCTCTTGCGATCCAGCGCTCCATAAGCATCTTTTGCGTTATCGATTGTGAGTGGGTTGCGGGGGAGAGGCAGTTCCTCCCCACCTGATGCGACCAGAGGCGCTTCACCGTTGGCTGGCAGACTTCCCTCGGAAATGTCTTAAGGAGACACCCGCAAAAATTAATCACATCATCGCCCTTCAGCATCAATCTCGCTATAGCTCACGCTCGAGCACAGTTGGCTGCCCAGAAGGGGCGCACATCATCGGCGCCAAAAGATCAGGGTACACACATTTCACGAAGCACTAAGCGATATCCTCACTAATAATAAACAGGAAAACGGCCCTAGGGCATCCAGAAGCATAGAATCACCCGTCGCATGACACATCTCCAGCAGAAACCGACTCGCGAGCGCTCCAACTACGATCGACCGCGTCCATAACCGCGTCCATATCCGGCCGAGAAGATCTATCTCAATAGGTACGTCATTTCTGGACCACTGTATAGGCATCGAAACTAATTCACTGAAGGATTCCCCGACACCTGGCAAGCGTGGCACGAAACGATGCGTTGACGCACTCGATCGCAACTTTGACTCCTCTCCGAAGCGGACTCGGCGATCTCCTAGGCTCTCTCGTGTGGAGACTATATCAGACAAACCCGCGACTAACTACGAGCCGACTAACCCGATCGAATTTTGGGCAAGAGAAGGGCAGTGGCCGCAAGAATATCCTGAACTTGATATGGAGCACTTACTTGCCCGGAAAAAGTCTTTGTCGTCTCTTGGTCGCAAGCGGTCGAACTCTACTACGTCCACGACGCCTAGCGATCAGAAGCCGAGGGAGGAGAAGAGTGTGCCCTACCGAGATCCGCGCTATAAGGCTCTACTTGCAACTAAGGACAGTTTCATGCATCCTCCCCGTCACTCGTCTTCTACTTTCAAAGACAGGCTATGCCCCCTTTCGAAACGTTCCCCAGCCCGTCGGATTCCACGCCGTCGTGATACTCCATAACTGCATCAACCCAACGCCACAGCCGCCCATTTGCCACAAATCGCGAACTCATCTTGGCTGCGAATGTCACCTTACGCGCTATAGCTAGTCATTTAGCGCCAACTGCGTCGAAGTACTTCTTCTCCTGCCGACAGATCTCACTTTCAGGCTCGTCGTCAGTCGCTAGCTCGCCAGCTAGTGCGAGTGCATCCTGGGTCATGGCTCGTGTTGCCTATAGAGCCTGTTGTTTTGACCTGAGCCGAGGGTGAGCAGTTGGAAATAATTAATTTAAAGCAGACATAAAGCTGAAAGGTATGCGATTGTATGTACTTTCTCCTTAGAGCCATAATTTCGGAAGAATCTGAACAGCCTTGCAATTACTATTAAATGTCGATTATTATTTGAGATATGACTAGTCACGCTGTAGAAAGTGTTCTAAAACAACTGCCGAAGGCTATAATGGTTGGGATGAAAGTGCCAATCGGTTCTGTTTTGGATACTAAGGACGATCTCCATGCCCAATCAATAATACCTGTGATGAGATAATTAGTTTATCTTCCTCGTCCTCGCTCTTGAATACTAAAGTAAAAGGAGGGGGAATCCTATATGACCACTTGCCTATAATGTGGCCGGTGGCCTTATCCACGTGGATATTATTCTCCTGAACGGGAATCGGGGTTAGCAATTGCTAATCGGAAATTATTTCAAGAGGTTAGTGTTCTAGTAGTAGAATAGAATAAGAGAGTAGAATAAGGTAGTAGGATTAGAAGGATAAGGTTAAGGTAAAGGTTTAGAGGAGAAAAGAGAGGAAAGTAGAAAATATACTATTACTATATATTACTTTTATAATAAATATAGTAAAAGTAATAATATTTAATAAAAGTAAGGTAATTATAAAGCTAGATATAATAATTATAATAAGAGAAATATATAAATAATAATAAAAAGAGGAGGTAAAAGCTATTTCTTATATATAATAATAATAATTAAGTAGAAAGGTAAAAGAGGGAGAGATAAAAAGTATATTAAAAATAATAAAAATAAGAATAAATAAAAGGGCTTTAATAAGAGGTAAGAGAGTTATATATCTTAAATATATAAAAGTATAAAGATAAAAATATATTATTATATAAATTAAAATATATTTTATTTTAATTATTATTAATATTATTAAATTAAGGAACTATAATGTAAGAGACAAGCCTAGCAACTAGCCTCTTATAAATAGCTAGCTGTTTTAAGCTAGTTATAGCACTAGAGGTTAGTTAGGAAACCTAGGAAAAGAGTATTAGGTTACCTAGGACCTATACTACCCTATAACTAATATACCCTATAATAACTTTAAAACTAAAATAACTCTTTTAGTTTAAGAGATAAGATATTAGTTATTTATACTTATCTACTTGTCTTTTAAGCCTCTTTTAGATAAAAGTAGGTCTTATAAAAGTTATATATATTTATCTTAGGGTTTAGTAGTTATAAGTTAATTTTTTAGATTTCCTATACTAATAAATTTTATAGAAAATTAAAGTTAGCCTAGGAAGCTACTATAGTGGGTTTAAGGGTAAATAAAGCCTAGTAGATATATAAGAGGAAAAGTAGATAACCTATATCTCTTAACTATTCGAAAATACACTTATTATTAAAGACCTAAAGTTCATAGCCCTCTAAACTCACTAAGTTATAGTGGTTAGAAGTCTTTATTATAGTGAATTAGACCCTATAAGTTAGAGCGTTACTTCTACTATTAGTTGCTGTTAGTTGCTATAAAGCCTCTATAATTCAACTCTATCCCTAGCCTAGTCCTAATAGAACTATATAGCTTAAGTCTACCTATAATTAATAATCTATCTATTCTATAATCACTACCTTTATTAAGATAATTTAATAATATATCACTACCTTCACTATTAGTTAACTCTGTTAAGTCCTTATTAGTACTTTATATATTGCTACCTTTATCACTCTAATATACTTAAGTCTTAAACATCCCACTAAGCCTACACTTACTATTAATCTCACCTAATCTACTCTAAATAACTATAAGTATACTAATCCTTAATATTAGTATAAATATCTTAAAGGATATATTAAGATACTAAAGTATAAGTTATTAAAGGTATTAATATTTATTATTAATAATAAATAGCTATATAACTTATTAATCTTTAAGCTTTCTAAAATAAATATAAATAATTATAAGCTTATAGATATTACTAAAGTAGTAAAGCTATTAAAGACTAAAGAGCTTTAAGAACTTAATCTTAAGTAATTAATTAACTTATTTAACTTTAGTAATTATATTTTTAATAAAACTAACTCCTTTAAAAAGGAGGATTTAGATAATTAAAGTATAATTATTATAAAATATAATTATTAATTAACCTTTTTAATCCTAAAGTATATATTAATATAAAATAGTAATTATAATTATTATAACCTCTAGCTATTATTATAAAGATAGTTACTAAGGTTGCTTAGGATATAACTAAGAAGGAGAGGAGGAAGGAAGGAAGGGAGATAGATAGCTAGGCTAATTAAATATAAGCCTACTTATCTCTCTTAAATATATAAATATATATAAATATATATCTATCCTTATACCCCCCCTAGGTTAACTTTAATAAAAGAGTATAATTATTATTTTATATTTCTCTTTAAATATATAAGTATTATACTTAGGGTTAGGGTTTTATATAAGGTTTTATAATAATATATCTTATTATTTCTAGGTTAAGTATATTTATTTAGCTACTTTATTAAGATTTTAGTTTAACTATTTTAACTTAAAAGTACCTTTAATCTTTCTTACTATTTTATTACTAAATAGAATATACCTTATTTTATTAAAGGTATAATAGCTATAAAACTAATAGTAATAAATAATTATTAATTACTTTTTAATATCTAGTAATAATTTAAGAGGCCTTTATATCTACTTAAGTAAAAGCTAGCCTTTTTAATAATATATATATATTAAGAGGATAATAATATAGTATAGTTATATAAAATAAGGTAGTTAGTAACTAAATAGTAACTAATAGTGGAAGTAACGCTATAACTTAGAGGGGCTACTATTATAACTAAGACTTTTAACCACTATAACTTAGCGAGTTTAAAGGCTAGGAGCTTCGTTTTTTAGAGTAACGTTTATTTTCACTTAGTTAAGAGGTGTAAGTTATTTACTTTTTCTCTTATATATCTACTAGCCCACTATATAATATATAACTATATAAATTACTAAGTATTAGGAATTAAAAGGCTATATATTAATAAAAATAATAAAGATTTTATTATAGTAAATACTATACTATACTTATAGATATAATTAATTAATCTATTTTATAGATCTAACTTTTCTAGTAAATATTATAAACCTTAAATATAATAACCTTTCCTAGAAGCTTTTCTACTATATTATACTAAGTAAGCCTAAATCTAAATTAATCTACTAAATTAAAACTTAAATAAGAGCTACCTCTACCTAAATTAATTTAATATAGTATATAATATATTAGAACTAATAGTTAAATACTAAGTTATAATAAATATATATAATAAGGTAGTTATTACTAAAGCTAGGCCTATTAAGGTCTTCTATATCCCTAAGGAGTACCTTATCTAGTACCTTTACTCTATCTACCTAGTTAGTATAATATAGAGTTAAACCTAGTAGATATAGCTACTAGATTTACTCTATTATTAGTAGCTTTATTACTATAAGGAGCCCTTTAATTAAATATAGGCTTAAGAATTTTATATATATTAGGTAAAGCTCTCTTAGGTTATTTATAATTAAAAGTAGTATATCTTCTAGGAGTTTATTATCTACTTTAATAATTAAGCTCTTACTAGTAGGGATATAAGTATTAGATAATACTATCTTATTATTATTATTACTATTACTACTATATAGGAAAGTAGTTATAGTTAGTAATAATAAGTATCCCCTTTTAGGGCTATAATTAACTTATATATTAGCTAGCCCTTTTTAGAGTTTTTAATAAGATATTAATACCTATACTTAGGCTAAATATATAAATATTTAAGTTTTTATAGTATTAAAGGTTTAAGTATAAGCTATAAATTATATTTTAAAACCTATATATAATAGTTATATATATAGCCTAATCTTAAGATTAAATAACCCTTATTTATAGTAAGAAAAAATAAATAAAATATCTACTAGCTTTTATTTACCCTTAAACCCACTATAGTAGATCCTTAATAATATTACTATAGCTATTACTATAACTAGAAGACTTATAGCTAGCTATAGCTAGAGCTTTAACTAGACCCTAAGGTTACACCTATAAGGTTAAGCTATTTAAGCTTAACTAATTAACTTAATAACTCTAACTACTTTTTAGATAAGTTATAATTATAATAGTAAGTGCCTTTACCTTAATTACCTTCTAATACTAATTAGTAATTATAAGAGTAGTTATAAATTAACTAATAAGAAGAAATAAGATGTTTAAAATACTTAGAAAAGTTATAGTTAAAGACCCTTTATTAAAGGCTTACTATAAGTATTAATTTTTATACTAAAGATCTCTTAAGATACTAGATATAACCCCTTACATTAGAGTTCGAACATCTTAAGATATTACCTTATAAGAGCGCGAGTTCCCTTAATATTTGTTCGACCGGGAAACGCCTTTCAAGGAGCGTCCTATCACGCCTCCGCCCACACGAAGAGCCCGCCCAACCCGTCTCCCTCGTCGAACGGCTACATCAACAGCTCGCGATACAACTATCCTCTCTCTCAACCTCTCGAGACAGCTGTATCACACAGCCCAAGCCTCTATCTAGCCTACCTTCCCTGCCAGACAGCTAGGTCAACAACCCGCGATGCACCTATCCTCTCCGTCAACCTCTCGAGACAGCCGCATCGCAAGAACACGAAGACCTCATCCGACCCATCTCCCTCCTCGGACGGCTAGGTCCGCCACTCGCGATACAACTATCATCTCCGTCAACCTCCCAAGACAGCTATATCACTCCAACCCGAAGCCTCTGTCCGGCCCGCCTTCCTTGCCGGACACCCAAGTCAACAGCTCGCAATACAACTGTCTCCGCCAACCTCTTAAGACAGCTGTATCGCTCGAGCCCGAAGAGCCTGTCTGACCCGTCTTCCTTCGTTAGACAGCCACATCGCTCGAGCCCGAAGACCGTGTCCAGCCCGTCTCCCTCGCTGGACACACACATCGCTCGAGCCTGAAGACCCTGTCTGACCCGTCTTCCTTCGTCAGACAGCAAGGTCATTAATACACGAAGAACCGGTCCGTACAAACCAACCTCTACGGACAGCCCTATCCCTGACCCCTGATGAACCTATCTACACAAGCCTCCCTCCCGCGACAGATCAATCGTCAATCCACGAAGAACCCGTCCATACGAACCGACCCCTCAAGACAGCTCAATCGCAGACCCTTCAACAGCCCGTCTGCTTGACCCGTCCCTCGAGACAGCCCAATCGCGCACCTACGAAAAGTCTATCTGCCCGGCCTAACCTCTCAAGATAGCTCTAGAGCCCGTCTAGCGGAGCCGACTTTTCAAGACACCTATATCGCGCTCCCTCAAAGAGCCTGTCCGACCTCTCTTCCCTCGTCAGACAGCCCTCTCGCCAATCCCTAATAACCCTATCCGACCCGTCTTCCTTCGTCGGACACATACATCGCTCGAGCCCGAAGACCCTGTCCGGCCCGTCTTCCCTCGTTAGACAGCCGTATCGCTTAAGCCTGAAGAACCTGTCTATCTATACTTCCTCTATGAACACCTTTATCGCCGACCTACGAAGAGCCTGTCTGTTAGATCCAACCCACACAGATAGACCCGTCAGCGATCCACGAAGCCTCCGTCTAACAAGTCCTTCCTTCCTTCCTTTAACTGCTAGAGTGAACCTATCATCTTGGACAGCTGGTTCGTGCCAGCACGAAGAGCATGTCTCGCAGACCGGACTGCTTAAGACCCTATCTAACAGGAACAGAACCACTAGAGAAGGGAAAAGAAACTGCCTATGTAGCTACAGCCTAAAGTGTAACTAGAAGACCCGTAGCTAGCCGTAACCGGAGCCCTGGCCAGGTTTCCGGTCAGGCCCTAAGCCAGGCTTTAGCCGGTCGGGTTTCACCCACAACGCCGGGCTATAAAGCCCGGCCAGCTAGCCTAATTAGCTTAGCTTCCTTCTTAGACAACCTAGTCATAGTTGCAATAGCAAGTGCCTTCACTCCAGTTGCCTTCCAACAATATTAATATTAACTTAAGATTTATATTAAGGGTTAAGAGGTAAGAAAATATAAATTTCTTTAATTAAAAGTAATATTAGCTATTAAGCCTCCCTTAGCTATAAATATATAGAGGTAGAGTAGTTAAGCTAGTTAACAGAGGTGGCTGGAGAGCAACCTCCTTAATTAAGACCTCACTTTCTAGGAGGTTAGATCGTTGGCGCTTCGAGCTTCCATTTTTAGCGACCAACCAGTGGCCATTTTAAGCATTCTCTACTATCGGCTCCGAAGGCAATGCCCCGTTCAACTCCACCCATCTCGCTTCTCTTTTGTGACTGCCATGTAGATGAGAAAATGTGGACACATGCGGAATTCAATTACCTCCAATTAACATGTCAAAATTTAACCGCTATAGGGCGTTGCTTTGATCACTGCTGGGGGCTCATATAAAGAAACCATCATTCACTCCAATTTCACTTGATGCAACGGGGAAAAAATACCTACCACCTCAGCAGCAGAATGGCAACTTCAACGATATTTACCAACGGTCGTATCCTGACCACCACCCAGGCTGGGCTGGAGACACAACCAACCTTTGCCAACTCGATGCTGATTGAGGGGAACAAGATCGTCGCCATCGGTTCCCACAATGATGTCGTCTCGCGAGCTTCAATCAACGTGCAAGTTCGGGACTTGGAACAAAAAACGGTCCTTCCGGGTTTCATTGATGGGCACATGCACCTACTTCTACTGGGGCAATCTCTTCGAAAGCTGGACCTGGTGCACTGCAAGGACGTTGCAGACATTCAGTCCACCATCAAACGCTATGCCTCAGAAAATCCACATTTGCCGTCCATCATGTGCAAGAATTGGTTTCACTCCATGACACCAAATGGGGTATCAGCAATCATGTTGGATAGCATTGACCCTAGGCCCATCTTTGTCGATAACAGCACCCTTCACTCCGCATGGTGCAACACCGCCGCCCTCAAGGTCCTTGATATTCAAGATACCCCTGACCCCGCGGGTGGCAAGATCCATCGTGATAGCAACGGAAACCCATCTGGAGTATTGGATGAGGGTGCCGTCATGTCAATCATCTGGCCTTTCCAGGCTTCGTCATCCCCCAAGCCAGAAAGAATAGACGCCATCCGCGCCGCCGTCAAGGAATACAACGCGGCCGGATACACAGGCATAGTGGAGATGGCTATGGACGAAGAGGCATGGGATGCGCTGGTCACCCTTGTCGATGAGCAGCCAGATCTTCCTACCCGTGTCGCCGCATACTGGCTGATCAAACCTACTGCAGACGTCGAAGCCAACTCCAAGCAGGTCAAGAGAGCGATTGAGCTCAGCAAACTATACAATGCCGAGAGGAACCCGGATCTACGGATTGTGGGAATCAAGTTGATTTGTGATGGCATCATTGACGCCTGCACGGCGTTCCTCTCCGAACCATATGCACTAGCTGGACTTCCACCTCCCGTCTGGCTGCCTGAGCACATCGAGCCAGTGGTGAAAGAGGCCGACGCTGGCGGCCTCCAAATTGCTCTGCACGCCATTGGCGACGGCGCCATCAAGATGGCCATTGACGCTCTCGAGAAACACACCACCCCCGGCCGACGGCACCGCATCGAGCACCTGGAGCTTGCTTCCCCGGAAGATGCCAAGAGGCTGGGCCGCCTCGGGCTCACAGCATCCATCCACCCTGTCCATGCTGATCCGTCCATCCTGACCGCGTGGCCGCGTTTGCTCGGCGCCGACAGATGCAAGCGCGCATTCGCCTATCGGGAGTTTGCGGACGCTGGTGCCCTCATGGCCATTGGCAGCGACAGCCCGACATCACCTTGGGCGCCAATGAGCAACTTGTACGTCGCCACCACCCGCAAGTCATCGAGAAAACCGGACTTTGAAGGGACGGTCAATGAGCATTTTAAGCTGGGCGTCTGCGAGGCTATTGTGGCAGGGACGACGGGGTCGGCAAAGAGTGTTTTCTCGGAGGAGAGAACCGGCAGTCTAGGCGTTGGCAAGATGGCGGATTTTGTGGTGGTGGATATAGAATGGAATGCGAATGAACTGCTCAAGGCTTCTGTTCAAGAGACGTGGTTTAGTGGTAAGCGAGTGTGGGAATTAGAATAGCTACTCGATTAAGCTCATAGAAATTTAAGAGTTGCAGCCACAAGTCCGTCTGTAAATTCTAGGTCAGCATTATCCTGAATTGTCCCCCATTTCGAGTTAAAAGAGCATCTCCTTGAAATATTGGCGGTCTGAGACTCGCAAAGAATTCCTGCAGTGTAATAATACTAGGTGTCTATCACGAGGCGTTTCGTTTATTCGTTTAAGGGAATAATAATAGATGAGACATCCCAAAACGTTTTTGTTTCACGTACTTGACACTAGAACCACGAGAAATAATAAAAAGAATGAGGAACAAGCATAATTATCTCTATTGATTGTCCTTGATACTTTAACCACGGAGAGCCTTTGAGATGGCAGCCAGACCACCCTGAAGCTCCTCCCTAGTTGGCCAAGCGAAGCCGACACGGAAGAAAGTATCCGGCATCTCGAACCAATGACCCTGTCCGACATACGTGCCATGCTCCTCTAGCAGGCGCTTGTAAAACGCCGCGGTGCCGCCAACGGGCTCCTTCTTCATGCGAGGAAAGCAGACCACGCCGCCAACAGGACGAACCCACTCTAGCAGGTCCTCTTTCTCAATCCACTCTGCGACAATGTCAAGGCGAGCCTTTTGCTCCACGTTCGTGGCAGAGAGGATGTTCTCTCTGTTAGACAGCACAGACTCGGCGATCCACTCGTCGATGACGCTTCCGCTGATGGAAATTTGCTCCTTGGCAGCGAGGAAGGTTTCCTGTAGCCTCTTATTCTGCGTGGTCAACCAACCCAGCCTGATGCCCGGGATTCCGTACGATTTAGATAGAGAGCACACGCTGATGACGTGGTCGGCGAGAGACGAGGCGACTGGGAGAGGAGTCATGTAGCTAATATCTCTATAGGTCTCGTCAACGAGAAGGATGGAGCCATTGGCCTTGGTGATAGCAACGAGTTCATCCAGATCAGCCCTAGAGATGGAAGTACCGGTAGGATTATGCGGCGCGGTGATGGATACAATCTTAGTGTTAGGCTTCAGGGCAGCTTTTAAGGACGCAATATCAGGCTGGAAACCAGCTTCATGCTTAAGGTCGATAAAGCTGATTTCGCAGCCAATCGCCTTAGGTGTCTCCAAGTTAGTCGCATAGTTGGGGCGCATCACGACCAAATGATCAGCAGGGGTGAGCTGTGATGTAGAGATGATGAAGAGCGCACCCGCTGCCCCCGACGTGATGAGCACGTCGTCCTTGGTGACGCCTGATTGCTCCGCAATCAGTTGTCGTAGCTTGGAGCCTCCGCGGTGCTCATTGTAGAGAAGGGTAAGGTTCGGGACCTTGAGGTTCAAGGACTCCAGGCTTTGGTCGGGGCAGGAGCTCTCGGAGAGGTTGTATTTGATCTTATCGTAGCCGTACTCTTCGGGAGATTCAATCTCGATCGGCATTCGTGCGTACTTCATGTGGGGCAGTAATAGGCTGGGAAATACGGTGGATGGTAAAGTTTAGTGATATTTGACAGTCTTTCTCCAGTTCATGCGATTTCGTTGAAGCAGCTAGGATTGCAACTTCCAAGCGTATTTCCCCTGCTTTTATATAGTGGTAACCTACATACACTTTTCAGAACCACAAGAACTCAATGTTCATCTGCGCCCTGTAGGGCGCCCCTTGCCACATTAGCTGCAATACTCTAAGTCCTGTTAAACAGTCATTCGCGCCCTAGCTGCAACAAGAAGAAGACTCTTGTCATCCTTATTTTCTTTTGATCACAAACGTCAACAGCTGACTCGCTTCTTCTCTCCGGGCAGGTGGGGCTGTCCGAGAGTCAAGAGGGAGGTTGCCACATCCCCATCTTTCATCTTCGGACTCCGAGAATGCCTTTCCCCGCATTTCTCCACACGTCACTCTCGGAGTCGCGATTCAAGCGAAAGTGCTTGTTAATACCCTGGGCCCTGCCTTGTCAATTTAGAAATCCCGACAGTGTCTCATTTCCCATCGTCGAATATCCAGCGTGTCCGCACCGAGAGTGCGTTGCCGTCGACCGAATGTGACTACCATGACCAGGGCCACAGGTTGCTGGACTTGTCGCGTTCGGCACGTCAAGTGCGACTCCGAAACTCCAAGCTGCCGAGAATGCAGTAGTCGCCAAACGAACTGCCACGGCTATGGGCCTCGCCCCGTTTGGATGGATGGCGGCACGCTTGAAGCCGCAGAGCGATCCCGCATCAAAGCGTCTATCAAAGAAAACTTTAGGCGCGTCAGAAAACGTCAGAACCAATCTCGTCAACGGTCACGGGTCCCGCAACCCGCCGCCCAAGCAGAGCCGCAGTTCAGAGGGACGGACGCTCGTCGAGCCCGATTCGCGTCCGAGGATCGATTGTTATCTCCCAGTATTCCTTTGCTACAATCAATCACCTACTCTCTGGACTCGATTACCGCATATGACAATTTACAGCAGCTCGCATGCGATACTAGTCCAGCCTCGGAACCGATCCTATTCTATCCTGCTGCCGACAATGTTGCGCTGTTCCGTCAGCCCACTGCCTCGGAGGACAACAGCGTAGGCAATAACGCGTACGAAGCCAGTTTATTGATGCACTATTTTGACCAAGTCTTCCCGTGGCAATTCCCATATCATAATCCACAATCACGAACAGGTAACAGGGGATGGCTGCTCCAGCTGCTGACCAAGCGAGGCCCCCTATACTATGCCACCATCAGCTTGTCCTCGTTACACCAGAATGCCATGCGAGGCATAAACCAAGAGTCTTTACAGAGCCAAAAGGCTTATGACCGTCACTCTACCGCGCTGCAAGAGCTCTGCGAGTTCCTGCGTTCTGAAAAGAGCGCCGAGCTGCATCAAGATGAGTTGCTTCTCGCAGAGTTTCTTGCCTGCAGTACAATGCTAATGAGCTTCGAGGTATATTCACTTCTCTATCATTTAGTACTTATGTGTTGAAAAGCTAACGAATCCCTTGAAAAAAAGGTCCTTGGAGGAGGCCAGTCAGACTGGGAACCACATCTCAATGCTGTATATTCGATCATCATCCCCAAGCCTCCCACTACCTTCCTCGACTCGGAGTGCTGGAAAACCGATAATCACATGTGTTACCCGTCAGAAGATCTTCCGCACCTTAAAACCTGCGGTACTAGTGCCGGTCTCGAATTCTTATACGCCAACGCGATCTGGTTCGACATCATCTCATGCGTGTCGACCGGAAAGGCCCCTGTACTTCCCTATAAGTCATGGCTTGCTATCAAGAAGCTGAAGATGGAAGACGTTATGGGCTGTAATAATAGGATCCTGTCTTTGATTGGGGATATAGCACAGCTGAGATTGTGGAAGGAGGATATGGATAAACAAGGTCTCTTGAGCGCCCGTGAGCTGGTAGGAAGGGGCCAAGGTATTGAGTCCCAGCTTGAAGAGGAAATCATGAAATTATCCTCAGAAAAGGACGAGGTTTGTCCTCTACCCAACGTATTTCCCGTGTGATCTAGTTCTCACTCCAGCTAACCACACAGACCGTTATGAAATCGCAAGCGAATTGGATTTCGCATATATTCGCTTTAGGAGCACTCGTTCAGGTTCATACCATCGTCTCTGGGCCTTTGCCATATCTACCAGAAATACAGAGAACCGTGCAAAAGTGCATAGATCTCCTCTCCGCGAGACCTTGCAGGTGCAGTCTGCAAGGGATGGTGTGGCCACTGTGCGTTCTGGGCTGCATGGCTGAGCCTCAGTCACAGTCCTTCTTTGAGGAGCTGGTTTCAAACATGGACAAGGAATACAAAGGGCTGGGGAACTCTTCTACGGTCTTGCAGATTATGCGGGGATGTTGGGGGTTGCAGATGGGTGGGCGCAAAGATTGCACGGCCGCAATGTCGGAGTTGAATATTCATGCCTTATTAGTGTAGACGGAAAATATGACCAAATATATAATTGTAAATGCCAACGAGGCATGGCTACTAAATCCCATGCCTCCCCAATATTCTACGAATATCAGAATCTCCATGGGAAGCAATAATGATAGTGCTTCCGTCATTACCTTTCTAGCCATGCTAGATTCAAGACTTACATGCCCTCCTATCAGGGTATCATGTATACATAGATAGTTAGTCCCAGGAGTGGTTCGACGTAGTGTAGACATCCCTTAGTCCGGGCAACGTGAGATAATTGTGTCATTCTCGTGTTTAACCCTAGCCTCATATTTGCAATGTGGCGACAGTATCGACTCAGATAATGATCCAAGAGCATCTTGTGCCGCATCTATGCGGTAACAGTCATATTGTCCCCAATTCGAGTAACAATTCTTGGCAACGATGACGCGGTCTATTCAGATTTGTACTATGTAACGATTCTTTTCCAACCACTTGAATCGATATGGTATCAAGCCACTGGATATAAACCCTGTCGTTTCGAAACTAAAAATGTAAAAGGAAAGTCGAACCGCCCCGCCATCCCCGCTCAGCGCAGATTTCCGTGTCCAACCCCTGGCCCCCAGGGTTGGAGCCAGCCCTTTTTCTGCAGTCACAATGAACCGTAGCAAACCGAGATGTTATTAGCGGATTTTGTCATATCTTGTATTAGCGAGGCTCTAATCTCCAACAAACCTTTAACCTCAGCTATCAAATCCCTCGCACTGCATGTACTGTGGAGTACCTTAGCCCAGCGCCCCCACAACCTCCTCCATCACCTCCGCAACTCTCATGCTTTATTTCCCCAACTTCAATTCTTTTCTGTGATGGAAATTACGTAAAATGTATCATATCATACTCTTAAACATCAGTCTATCTTCCATTTCCCCGTAGCCCCGGCTTTTCATGGGGTATTCTAGTAGACGGAGCGGAAGCCAGGGCTATGATTTATACCAGTGGGTTGCCCCCATCTGTTTCCTTCTTTCTGTTTTATCATGGGACTCCATAACAATTTCTTTTTTACTCATCATTAAATATCTATTGGCTTTGTCTTTAAACATATGCAATCATGGAGAATGCTCCTCAAAAATCTCCTGTAGACGAGCCAGAGAAAGGAATAGGGAAAGGTCACGACGTTGAGAATGGCCGTTCCAACGTGGCCAACATCAACTTTCAAGATGAGGATTTCATGACCCGAAATGGCCTCAACTTCAACTCCTTCAGGTGTAAGGTCTACGGTCGAGGTGTGGTTGAGATGGACCGGGCCATGAGCACACGTCATCTGCACATGATTGCCATTGGTGGCTCCATTGGAGCTGGATTCTTTGTTGGCTCTGGCGGTGTGCTTTCCTCAGGAGTAAGTTTGACATCGATATTTTAATTCTCAAGAATGACTTTACTCAAGGCACTAACGTATTTGTTTCCACCATTAGGGTCCTGCTTCCGTTCTGCTTTGCTATGCCATCATGGGTGTCATGGTTTTCAATGTTGGTGAGTAAATCTCCGCTATCTTCGTCACGGGTAGGAATGGCTTATTAATAACTGGTAGTCTATGCACTTGGAGAATTGGCCGTCATGTTTCCCGTTTCCGGAGGCTTCTACACCTACGCGACTAGGTTTATCGACCCATCGTGGGGATTTGCTCTGGGCTGGAACTACTCTTTCCAGTGGTGCGTCACCTTGCCACTAGAGTTGACTGTCTGCGCCATGGTTGTCAAGTACTGGAATGCAGATATAAGCCCCGGTGTCTGGATCACCGTCTTTCTCATCGCCATCATCATCGTGAACATTTTCGGAAGTATCGGCTACGCCGAGGAAGAATTCTGGGCGGCCCTACTCAAGATGGGCGCCATCGTCATCTTTCTCATCATCTGCCTAGTGCTAGTTCTCGGCGGTGGTCCTGAAAGTGGCCGGTATCACGAATACTGGGGCGCCCGCCTCTGGTATGACCCCGGTGCTTTTCGAAACGGCTTCAAGGGCTTTTGCTCCGTGTTTGTGACGGCTGCATTCTCGTTTGCAGGTACTGAGCTTGTTGGTCTTTCAGCAGCTGAGTCTAAGACCCCAACAAAGAGTGTGCCAGGAGCCATCAAGCAGGTCTTCTGGCGAATTACGTTGTTCTACGTACTCGGCATGCTCTTCATCGGTCTTCTTATCCCTTCCACAGACCCCTCACTTATCTCAAGCAGTTCATATGCCGATGTCAAAGCGTCTCCGTTCGTACTTGTCGGAAAGTACGCAGGGCTTGTGGGCTTCGATCACTTCATGAACTTTGTTATTCTTGTTTCTGCCCTCTCCATTGGCGTTTCGGGTGTCTATGGAGGTTCCCGCACAATCACCGCTCTCGGGCAACTCGGGTACGCTCCCAAGTGGTTCACGTACATCGACCGCTCCGGTCGACCACTCGCCTCTGTGGCACTCGTTTTGTTGTTTGGCCCAATTGCCTACGTCAGTCTCGCGGCTGAAGGCTCTGAGGTGTTCGACTGGCTCCTCGCCACTGCTGGTTTAGCTACTCTCTTCACCTGGGGGTCCATCTGCATTGCGCACATCCGGTTCCGCAAGGCCTGGGCACACCACGGACACACGTTGGATGAGATTCCATTCTGTGCTGCCGGTGGTGTGTACGGATCATATCTGGGATTAGTCCTCGTTGTGGTGGTATTTGTGGCTCAGATCTTCACAGCGATTGCGCCCCCTGGACTTGGATCGGAGCTGAATGATGCTAAAGGTTTTTTCAAGTCATGCCTTGCACTTCCCGTTATTGTATGTCTTTGGGTTGGGGGTTTCTTGTGGAAACGAACCTCTTGGTTGAAGGTTGAAGATATGGACGTGGACTCTGGCCGAAGGGAGTTTGACTGGAACTATATCAGGGCTCAGAAAGCAGAGATTCAGTCTCTTCCTACCTGGAGACGGATTCTTGCCAAACTCTTGTGAGATTTTGTTATCGTACCGACCGGACGATGTTTGACATACGATACTACATCTTGGTTGATCGAGACGCTACATGTTTATATCCAGCCTTTAAGTAGGCGGCACTCAGAATGGGAGGCTAGGGAGGGGACATAGTTCTAGATAGTCCTCGCTCCTGAATTAAGTTATTAGGCTTTGTTCATACAGATATCGTGCGACAAACGGGAGCTGTGAAAATTGGATGGACATCATTCTTTCATCCATTCAATTGTGTTGCGAAGCCGGGGTATGGCCTCTTATTATCGTGTTAGGTTGAGACTATGTTTTTACTGATAACAAGTCGGATGTTTATTCTATTGAAGTAGATGTTTGATAGCTTTGGTTGTAACAACGGCTTCTTTGCTAGATGACGACAAAATTGGGACGTCGTTACTCACAACCTTTTTTGCTATATTATGTAAAATTGTGCTTGGAGACCTACCGACGCATGGTCCCAAGGTCGGGAAGTGCCCTCTTGGGGATTTTTAATTCACAATGCAAATTAGCTTACATGTAGGCGGCCAGGCCAGCACAACTTAGGCAGACCTCTGTATGAAGCCGTTAAATTGATTTTTCCGTTAGCGAAGAACACAATTACGAAATTTAATTGGGGTACTAAGGGAGGAAATATGGAATGTGTCTCGTGGATAGAACTAACTCGGACAGTTACATCTGCCATGAGAACGCGAAGATGTCTCACCGTGAGGGCAACATGGGCTGAATATCGCCTAGGTTTTTCTCCGCATTAGTAAAAATCATTCCCGTTCTCTCTAATTGGTTGAATATGATAACGGATTGCCAGGGATGGATATTCTTTCTCCGAGGAATAAAATATGAGAAGAGAATGTCCATTGTGATTGGTCGGATTTGGAGAGGCGCTTCGACCTTCTCTATGAAGCGCTCCCGCGCCGGTTTAGCATCCGGTTTAGCATCCCGGTGCGGCTCGGACTTCCGTCTCACAGCAGATTTCTGTATTATTCAACCTCATGATAGCGACAGTAACAAATAAATATATAAAAGAAGTAAGAGTAGTTGTAGATATTGAAGGAATAATAGTTTTTTCTCGTCATTGCCACGACTTTGATCACCAATATCATTGTGCCCGGCATAAGTTCAAATGGCACAGGAACAGTCCAGTATAAGTCTCGTTGAGGCATCTATTGCGAATTTGCTTCAAGCATTGAACACTAGTGCTATAACGAGTGTCGAGTTTGTTTCTCTATGCCTTCATAGAATTGGACAATATGGTTATCGAGGCCCGACACTCAACTCTGTCTGCGTCATCAATCCTCGAGCCGTCGAAGAGGCACAGGCATCAGATGACTACCGTGCCTCCAGGAAGCCACTGAGGCCTCTAGAAGGGATCCCGTTCACTGTCAAAGATAGCTTCAAGGTTAAGGGGATGGCTGTTTCTGCAGGCTCGCCGGCCTTTAAAGACCTCTAAGCTTCCGAGGACGCCTTCATTGTTACCGTGCTGCGAAGAGCTGGCGCCATCGTTCTATGCCGGACTAACTTGCCCGCCATGGCTGATGGAGGCATTCAACGTGGATTGTTCGGCCGAGCAGAGAGCCCATACGATCCAAAATATTCCACCACGGCGTATGCATCTGGATCCTCCAATGGCTGTGGAACGTCAACTGCTTGCAGCTTTGCCTCGTTTGGATTCGCCGGCGAAACCGTCACATCCGGCCGCTCCTCCGCTTCCAACAATGGACTTGTGGGATACTCACCGTCACGCTCAGTAACTCCAGCCCGAGGACAATGGCCATTGTATCCGACCTGCGATGTCATTGTACCTAATACCCGATCTGTTGAGGATATGCTGGCAGTTTTGAACATCATTGTCGCAGAGGATGACGCAGACCGCGGGTCGGATTATTGGAGAAATCAGAAGCACGTCGCCATCCCCAATGTCTCTGAAGTTAGGCCGGCCGATTACTTAAGCTTGAAGGAGACATCGGCACTATACGGCAAAAGAATTGCCGTCCCTAGATGTATGATTGACATTCCTAGGGCCAAACCTACCACCGTCTGCAGTTAGTCAGTTCAGGCACTTTGGGATGTTGCAAGACGCGACTTGGAGGCTGCTGGTGCGACAGTGGTTGAGACAGATTTCCCTCCCCTCGAGCAATACACGAAGCAGGACTTCCCTGGCCAGAACTACAATGTGCTAGGAATGCTATCTTCGTGCTAAGTATCGAGCGACGTGACATGATAGCCACGGCTTGGGATGATTTTCTTCTCGAGAATGGTGACCCGACGCATCTTACCCTGTCTGAAGCCAACTCGGATATCATTCGTCCGTTGATAGCACCAATGGATGATCCATCTAAGCATACAGAAGCGCAGAACCAGGTCCATTACAGTGCCATGATCGAGGTTGCCAAGAACCGAAAGTACAGCCTATACGACTTTCCCGGAAGCAAAGAGGCACTCGTATCTCTGGAAGCAATGCGCAAGACATACTTTGAAGACTGCATGGCCGCCAACAACTTTGATTTCATGGCTTTCCCTACCAATGGCGATGCCCCTTAAGCCGACGCCGATGAATCCCTGGAATCGATGAAGCATGCTATCCAAGATGGGATAAAATATGCCAATGGAGGTCGCTGCTTGAAGCACGTCGGTATACCCTGCATCACCATCCCCATGGGTGTCATGCAAGACAAGCAGATGCCTGTGGGAGTCACCTTTGCCACGAAGGCGTTTGACGACTCTAACTTGCTATACTATGCCTACTTGTACGAGCAGATTTCTTAGCGAAGAACCGTTCCTCCATCCACCCCTGCTCTCGGTACTGATAAGATCTCCCTGGTACCTTCGATCAGACCTGGCTCTTAGGTAAAGCTCATCATCAAGATTGGCTCGCAGATATGGACTAAGTCGGAGGATCCTGAGAATCACCTTCGTAGTATCTCTCTTTGCGGAATAGTCTAATCAACCTAAAATTATAGCTCTGTGGATTCCCTGTAGGTTTTTATTAATGGAGAATTGTGCACAGAGCCTCCTATCTATCACGGCAGAGAGTAGAAATGGAGTGCGCATGTCTCACGATGAAAGCTCCATGAACGACGTTTCCCTACATTGGCATCCGTGCCGAAGTATCACATTCTTATTGTGGTTGTTGCTAGTTTGGTCAATGGAAGGAAGGTAGCGAGCTTGATTGAGGTGGACTAGATGAACTGAAGCGAACGCTACACCCGCCTAGCGAGCCAATCGCTTGTAGTTTATGATTAAGGGACAGCCATTTAGATCTATTAACCTGTGAGCTACCAGGTGATTGATCGAACGTTATACTATATCCGTCGCTCTTTGCTAAGATCAACCCAGGCTGAACGTTAATAAGCGTCTATTGTTAATAGTAGGCCTGTATACCAGGAGATCCCTCTGGTACTAAGCCTTCTTCTATAAAGGTCTGTAGAAAAGGATGATAAATCAGAGTATTATGGGGATACTAAGCCCCTGGAGTATTAGATAGGAAGGATATAATTTAGAATTAGCCTATAACTAGGTAGGTCTAATATAATTAATATACTATATATCCACCCCTATATATTAGGTCTTAGATTTACCTGAAGCAAAATAGGCAATTACCTTCGGACCACTCTCTAAGAATCTCTACTAAATCTGATAAATAGAATATAGGGAACTTCGTTTTAATACGATCAAAGATTTATTCCTAATATTTATTATTATCCTAACCCGGGTCGAGATTAATACCTCTAAGGCAGAGAGCTTCAACTTGAGATATTATATTACCTATTATTATAATCCTCAAGCCTTCTTCCGTTAAAAAAAATCCTCTAAGATATAGTACTTTAAGATAAGGCTATATAAAAGAACTCTTCAGTACTGAATTAAAGGGTATAGCCTTATATATATCCTAAGAAATTCGAAGGTAATATAGTTTCTTATATTTTTATAGCATCAGCTTCAGGCCCTTCTGAACTAATCCTTTAGTATATTTATTATCTACGAGAGAAAGCTTAAGATATATTAACAGGCTCTAACTTTTAGAGCTAATACTATTAGAAGGAGTAAAGAAGGATAACCCAAGGTTTCTTATACGGAGGAGCTGGATTTTTATATTCAATATGGTAAGGGTATTATAAATAGTTATAAATTCATTATAGCTATAATTACTTCTTTCGGCGTTATAATAACCAGTTTCCCAGTCCTCTGGATCTTTATACTCCCCCGGGGCGTTAATATATAAAGAGTATAAGCCGCCATCCCCCTCTATAGATACCAGCGGCTCTTTAATATACCCTGGATTATTTAATTCCCGTGGTGATTTTGTAGGTACTGAATTAGGATTTCTATATAGAAATATAGCTTCTTCCAGATTTTTAAGCCTAGAGATAAATTCCTAAAGGTCCCTTTTCACTGTTTCCGAGACTGTATCCAGACTTTGTCGATCGGATAACCGCCCTTGTATATTTATAGGCCCGCTATCGTCTGGGTATTGTATTTTCGAAAAGACAACTGATCTAACGGTGAGCTCAAGGAATTTATCTGAGAGTATCTTTATGAGTTTGTAGTACTTTAGTTCAAGAGGGGTATGAACTCTTTAGAAAATATATCAGCAGCCTACCTCCCCAAGGAGCCTCCCTATAACCGGAAACATTTCAGACTCTTTCTATCTAGCTATAAGCAAATTTCGCTCAAGATCTCGAGAGGAATTATAGTCAGTAATAGCGGCATCGTATTTATAACGAAGGAAAATATAACAGAACGGGTAAAGGCTGTCGTGGTGGGTGAGCATAGAAGAAAGAAGCAAGTTAAGAGCAAGCAACATTTAATCTACCTAGTACTCAGTTGCTCAATCAATAACCTTCGTTCAGCTTGCAGCGGTTATACATCGGCTATTAGCATTGACGCAGATGATGGAAATCACGTTGCTTGAGAGCTACAATTCTACATAATGAGCTACAATTCTAATTGGCCCAACCCCTGTATCATGTGACCTGCTGCCTAATCATCCACCTGAATACAGTCCAATTCAGTCCTCTGGTCACGCAGCTCAACTTCCCAGCTAGACCTATATAATGCCGTTATACTGTCCTTTGAGCTTTTGTAGCTATAGGAGACATATTCCTCCCCTATAGATTTAGTCGCTAGCTTCTGCTGGAGCGTCGTGGTACCTGTTACGTCAACCAATGTCTTACCATCTAGTCTCTCTGCCCCTCTTACAAATGTAACTTCAGTCCAAATTTGTCGAAATAAGATAGGCGGGGCAGCAGATATCATCGGGTTGCTCCTTTCTTATCAGGATAGCCGCCATAGAAGTCCCGGTCAGGTGCGGTTCGACTGGCTTTGCCAAACACTGGACACTGGGAGTGCACAGGGTATAGCATACACCCTTGCACCAAACAGAAGGAAGGTTATGGATTTTATGATTAGAGATGAAGCTGGTGGACTAGAGTGGATATTCATAAGCTGGACAGGGAATCTAGCTTGGTGGTTTTCGGGAACAGGCTGTAGGCTCTGCTATAAAGACTAAATATTCATTATCTCATTCAAGGGGCAATATATATCATTTGTCGAGACCTAATAGTTTATCCTGCCCAGAATAGCTCAGCTGATTAATGACCAGGGCGCTTTCGTGTCCAAAGATTAAGCAGATGAATGATTTAGCAATTGGAGGAAAGGGCTAGCTAGATACAGTAGGTGCATGGGAAACGGTTCAGTAGCATACCCTAGTCTTATTCCTCGGTATAGAGAATTTATAATGAAAACGGACTATAAATGAAAACGGACGATAGACTAAAAGCGGAATAAATCTATGAATCTCTATATATAGTCACTAATTTCCCTTTTACTGCAGCAAAAGAATACCTATACCCGCCAGGCAGAAAGAAAAGCAAATCTGGCAATTACCTTCGGTCGGATCAGCCGCAATGGGGTCCTTGGACTTGTAATGTTATTATACCGCGTGCTGGTACTTATCCTTAGACGACCCGGCGGCCTCCGGCCTCCACCTGTAAAGATGGCTGTTGCTAACTCGCTCTGCTGGTTACGTATATCCGCGCCAGTATCATATTATCTATTAAGTTCTCTACTATCCTTTCTATTAATCCTCGCTGTCGGATAACTGCCTCGCCTGATCCTGGTGCGACGGGCGAGACCCAGGGCCTGCTACTTATATCTGCTGGACTACTCCTCGCTGATATTGCTAAGTCCTCCTACCTTTCTATTTTCACCTGTACCCTGTATTTCCCTGGGCAGAATCAGCCGGAATATTAAGGGCTGGGTAGTCTCTGCTACATAAGGCTCCCGTTATCTATCCTTATTACTCGCTTTATTGTATAGTCCGATATGATGTCTCTGGTCCATATCCTTAGCCAGGCTGTAGATATTAACCTTATAGTACTCTGTAGGTATAAGAAACCCTGTATCTCAGCTGCTATTATATTCCACCGTTTCGTTTACTGCTTTCTTAAGCCTACTGCCTTTACCTATTGTAGGCGTACTGTTGAACGGACCTGGTACTCTTTTCCTGTATCTAATTATCTTTATACAGATATGTCTACTATACTCTTTACTATATCCTTCTCCCTCAGCTACTAGATCTTAACTTCTTATAGCTTTGATACTATTCTTACTTAACCCGCCTACCTTCTGAGATATATTACCTATTATATATATCTTCTAACCCCCTGCCTTTCTATCAGCTTATCCTCTCTTACTAGGATCCTATTTATACCTATTTATATAAGGAATACTGCTTCTACTTGGTAATATGTTCTATATAATCCTTTTTAGGCTTCTCTTGGATTATCTTACTCTACTATTAGGATACTATGCGCAACGCAAGCCTATACCCTATAGTAACTCTCTATCTAAGATAAGGGGCTTACCGCCTGGCTCGTGTAGGTAAACTTTCTTTCGCCTGTATTATATATATATTTATATAGGTCTCAGATCCCGTCTAGGTATCCCGCTTAATATTCTTACTCTCCCCCTTTTCCCCTCTTTATAATACCTGACCGTAACTTATACATAATTACGCTCCTCCCTGCTATATCTATATTATCAGTCGCCTATATCCTCCAGTATCTCCTTCCCCTTCTTTTCCGCTTTATCTCTATTCCCTTTTACTTTTAGCTTCTCTTAGCCTCTTTCTTTATCCTGTATCTATTAGTAAAACCAGTCTTTTATTCCCTAAAAACCTGTTAAAGGGGGGCCCCTTAATTACTGAGTGACTTCCCGTGATAATATCCGCTTCCGCTACTACCGTAGATAGCTCGCTGCAGGCTTGCAAGCCGCTGGATAGCCAGAGAGGCACCGGCGGCGATATATCTATTATGTTCTTTGTCTAGCCCGGCTGCCCTTCGAGATTCACCTCTGCAGATGAGTATCGAGTGAAGGGCCTAAATACTAAGACTATAGTGAGGGTTATCCTTCCGACCCCTCTATAGCTTATAGCCCCGGATTACTCCCCTTTGCATGTATAACCTGATAACTCCTCTCCCTCTATATTCTTCAGCCTTAACTTATCTATATATAACCAGCAAATTGATCCCGAGGACTGGTCTAACTAGTGGTTCTTTATGGCTGGCTGTGTCCATCCTTTTGCGTTGACCTGGGAAGTTAATCCTGACATTATGCCCCGCGTCGCTTAGCAACCGATGAACTTTTTTTGGTATGAAATCAAATAGCGCTAGTATAATATAGGGTAACTGATAATCTAAATCTGGGGTAACCAACGAACTCTAGTCTATATCCTAATAATAATAGAAAGATATAAAAAAAATATATAAGTATTAAGTTTAATCTTATAATTATAATAGTAAGTTTAGTTTTATTATAAAGCTATTATTTATAGGTTAAATTACTTAATCTTATTATAGACCCTAGTTTTAGTATTTATTAGTTAATAAGGGTAGTCTGTAGAAAGTACTTAATCAGGATATAATATTACCTGCTGTATAGATATAGCAGTTATACTTACTAATAATAACCTATAGGAAAAAGAAACTTTAATATAAAGAAATAAATAAAAAGGGAAAGTTTTTACAGGAGGAGGATTCTTAGGAATTACTTAGTTTATACTATTACTATTATTTAGTTCTAAATCTATATAATATAGAGTACTTTAACTATATAAGTAATCTGTACCTTCTATACTATAAGTTATATAAGTATATAGTA